CTTCTTTTTCTTTGGTTTCAATGTAAATTCAGGAAGAGGGGGAGGCCTTGGGCCATGGCACCTAATTATAACATTATTAAAATAAAAAGAATTTAAACAGTGTTGTAATAGAATATACAGTAGTATTCCTAAAGCATAACATATATGGCAAACCTCAATTTGCACTTGTGACCGCAAGGGTATTCTTCATTGCAAACTAAACGACATGTGGGACAAGCACCATAGTGGCATTTGTGTGGCTGGAGAATGGAAAAAATTATATATAGAACTTTACATTTTACACTATGGTTTCCCAGGAAAATGTAGGACCGACCGACCAATATGCCTTAAATCCAATCCCATGATTTCTAAAATTAACAATAGAGAAAATCAAACCTTAGAAATTGATGCATGCCTGCATAGAAGAGTCATACGGCATAATTTAGGGCATTTAGGTGGTTTCTGTTCAGATTCAGTACCACAAGGAACCTGATAATAAAAGTTGCAATGCAACCCATCATCAGAACTTAATAAATACAATGATTACAGGGATATTGGTCCAATGCAAATACCATAGTGCATGAGGTCATAGATAAACCAAGTACTCCACTATAAGCATGGCCACAAGTATGCAAAATAAAAACAGAATCATGGGTGACACACTGAATATAAGGAGATCATCTAAATTTCGCAAAAAAAAAAAAAAAAGGAGGATGGAGCTAAAATAATTAATAAATTAATAAATTAATAAATAAATAAATAAATAAATAAATAAATAAATAAATAAATAAATAAATAAATAAATAAATAAATAAATAAATAAATAAATAAATAAATAAATAAATAAATAAATAAATAAATAAATAAATAAATAAATAAATAAATAAATAAATAAATAAATAAATAAATAAATAAATAAATAAATAAATAAATAAATAAATAAATAAATAAATAAATAAATAAATAAATAAATAAATAAATAAATAAATAAATAAATAAATAAATAAATAAATAAATAAATAAATAAATAAATAAATAAATAAATAAATAAATAAATAAATAAATAAATAAATAAATAAATAAATAAATAAATAAATAAATAAAATGCTACTCTTACCTCAAAGTATGTCTCACCACACAAGCATGAGATTGTCACCATCACTGGGCAAGGAGCACAAGCACCTCTAGGAGAATAACAAGAAATTATTACACCTTACTCATATTGCTAGTATGAAGAAAATAACATGATCATAAATTCCATTATTTATCATGGAAGCATGGAAAATAAAAATAAATACTACCGTCCCATATTGAATGTCTTGTCTTAGTTTGACAGGATTATTATAAAGTGTTTTAAAAGTAAAAGTTGTGGTTGAGATTTGAGTGGAATAAAGTAAAATGATAAGAATCGCATATTTCTTGCCAAATTAAGAAATAGGAAACTCATTCTGGGACAACGCAAAAAGAAAAGTAAGACAACCAAAATGGTGTTCTGCCACCCAACCATTTCTACAAAGACGACAAATGAAATAAAAGAAAGAGAGAACCTGTGACATGGAGCAGGGCACTTATGGTTTCTACACCGAAGCCTCCTATCACATACCTGAGAATCCAAAAAGACTATCAGAAAAGAAACATTTTTTTATCAGAAAAGAAACATAAACGGAGTAAAAAGGACAATTAAGTATTATACATAGAACACGGCTAAACACACACACACACACCTCAGAACAAGGCAGGCACTCTCCATCACAGCAGCGACGCTTGCAGGCATGTCGTTCGCAATCCCGAAGTTTCAAGCACTTCCTCTCACAGGTTAAATCTTGGTAACAAGGAACCTATTCTAATTTCAGTTTATCTAGAACTAACTAATAATAATCAAGAAAGCACATATTCCATTCATCAAGAAGGATGTAATTTAACAAAGAAGGAAGTCCATGTACCTGTTTCTTAAAGCTCCCACACCTGCACCACTTTGTTACAACACTTCGACAAGTCTCAATGCATGGTCCCCGGTGACACCGCTCGGGGCACCTATGATATTGGCAGCTCAGCATTTTTTCACAAGTTTCCCCACATACAGGCGGAAGAACATCACACGATATCCCTTCGTACTCTTTCTTCCCACAAGGGCACGTCCTCTTCCCCTGAAGTGGGCACTTTCCGCATTCACCCTCATGGCAACCTCTCTGACACTTATGCCTACCACATCCCAACAACACATCACATGGATTGTCACACCTGAAAATACTCTCATAACATTGCCTTTCCATCTTCAGCTTCCCACATAGGCAGTTATAAAGGCCTTTTGAGCCACATGGTGGGCAGTCCCCATCATGGCAGATTTCAGTACACCTATGAATCTTACAAGTCAATAGCTTTTTGCAAGAGGAGTTACAGGAAAAATTCTTGAAACCACATCGTTTCATATCCTCAGTAGACCCGCAGAAGCACTTGGCTTTTACTAATTTAGGGCAGGAGGGGCAGGGACCTGGATGGCAGAGTAACAAACAACGGTGCCCACAATTGTGTTTCAATGGCCTGCCGCAGATTTCACCGCAGGAATGTGGTAAAACCCATGGGTCGTGGGGCGGGTTTTCGATTTTCCCGCAGAAGCAGTGGTAGGTCTTGGGGATTTGGTGTTTGGGGTATTCGACTCGGCATTTGGGACAGTGCCAGAGGAGGGAATTGTCGTTGGTTGTCGCGGCGCGTGATGCTGCACGGGCGGCGGCGAGATTGGAGGCCTGGACGCCCCATGACTGAATGCAGAGGAGATGAAAGACGGCGAAGCAACGGGAGGTGCAGGACCAGGTGGGGTCAACCGGCCTGATGCGCTCCAGGCAGATGAGGCAAGAGAGGGCGCCAGAACGGGAGGAGGTGAGGAAAGATTGGATCTTGAGGAGATCGTGCTGATGGTGATTGCCTCCGCCGGCAAGATCAAGGTAGGATTTGAAGATGGTGGATGAGAGATCGGAGTGGCGGTGGGATTGGGTGGAGACGGTGCCGGAGTCGGAGTCGGAGTCGGAGTCTGAAGACAGCGCAGGAAGTTCGGTGCCGGAGTTCATTTTCAGTATACAAGCAAACGCTTTAGCACTTCCACAAAAAAAGCGTTTATATCACTGTCTTAGTACGAGTAGTTTTTTTTCCAACAATGTTTTAATAGTGTTTGCCATTAAAATAAACAACTGGTTTATTTTTTTATTAAGGATATAAAAGTATAAGGGCATCCCCATTGGTAGGATTATTAAGAGATTAAGTAAGTGACGTGGCAGATTTTTTAAAGGAGTATCATTGAGAGACATAAATTATTTAATGAGATTATTTGCTATAATAATCCGGGATCAAAATATGAATCCAGATTATTTTAAGATTATGTAAAAAGTATATGTAATAGAAGTTAATGCAGGAACAAAAAAATCGGATTATTTGAAGATGATGGTTGGGATACATAAAACGAATATTGAGATTATTTAAACATTAATTATATAAAAATATTTAAAAGGTAAGAATCATAGAAAAAATGATTATTAGAGATCATGAATGGAGATGCTCTAATGAGATGAAATATAGAAGGAAAAACATCTCATAAATTCGTCTAGGTAGCTAAAGCAACAACAATATAATTTGGTTTAATAGTCTTGGTGCACTTGTTACTTCATAACATTTCTAATTTAAAGCATTTTCAGCTTTTTTATTTAAAAAACTAAAATGAATGTTTTCATACCAAACTTTTACTATGTATTGATTTTGAAAAGATTGATACAAAAAATCTTTTGATGGAGTATATGGCTCAGGGACCCCGGTCCACAGACTCTTACTTCTTCTATACAGTCCCATCAAGCTCAATCTTATTATATACCAAAGGAAGTGGAAAACCAGCTCAAATTCCCGTCTAAAGATATGGGTCAGAATATGGGTTCGGGTCTGCTGAACACTTTCTTCGTTGGTCAATGTATATAATTGTTGATCCGATAGGTGTCATATATTTGTCCATTCCATATGATATACTCCCCCCGTCATGTTGGGATGTTCCCGCTTTCCTTTTTTAGATGTCCCAAAAAGAAGTTCACATTTCCCTAAATGGAAAGTTCTCCTACATGAAAATAGTGTCAAACAGTGTCAAATAGTGTCAAACAGTGTCGAAACAGTGTCAAAACAATAAAATTTACCCCTGATAAGTTTATTTCTTTAATATGTGTGTAGGTCAAATCAGAAACATCCCAACGGGATGAAGGGAGTAATATTTTCTTCTAGGTAACTCGGATATAATACCTGGGAAATGAATATGCTCAACCCTTCACTTAACCATAACCTGTTTATCCATATGAATGCATATTGTATGTGTTGGTATATGTGCTTTTGATAGGTATATGTCCTAAGTAAGATTATGATAATCATAGGAATACTATCAATAATCATTAAAGTAACACTAATAATAGTACCAAACATAATGATGATGTTTGGTTTAAGTATTATTCTAAATAATTATAATTTATAATATAATATGTAGCAGTAATTATTTAATTATTGCTCCCAATTTCAACCTTCGAATAATAGCATTTCGTTTTACTATTGCTCTGCACCAGAGGGTGCTGCTCGAGGTTCAATATTATGATTCTCTTCAGCCTCCAGAATGTGGAGGGAGTCACAAAATTTTCTTCCTATTCTTAGAAATTAACGACCATAGATCGGAAACCCAACCCCAACACTATGAATTATAGCTCAAAACCCAAGCATTGCCCGAGAACGAATGAAAACTCAAGGGTAAGAGGTAATCATACAAAAATATATGAACAAAAATATAAAGTATAATTTGTCTCGCAATAGTGGAGTTGAAATATATGGCAAATGCACGTTTATCTTGCGTGAGCACAATACCAGTTATATAAATACAATTCCACGAGCACTGATAGTGATTTGTCGGAGTGCCAAAATCAGCAAGGTCAATAGTCGTGTGCCGAAGTGAAAAGCATGAAACTCATAGATCAAGACTGTGATTGACCAAATAGTCACAATTGTGTGCCTTTTATACATCATGTGTGCGATCAATATCCTAGAGAAGATTGTTTAATTTGCTCATTGGCTTCTATCTAGTAATACATACACATTCCACTAAATCACATGAACTTTTACATAACTAAACCATCTTGTAAGTATCCCCCATGGAAATCACGACTACTCTATTTGTAGAATATTGCTTCCATGTTTGAAAATCAACCATTCAACATTACACACACAATTAGCCCTTAATATCACTCACGTGAAGGGGAGTCTGATCACATATTATCCCTTTCCACTAGACATCCCTTGGCCAGTGGATCACCCTTAGGTATGTATGAAAAGCTCCCGCCTATGATTGGGGCCCTGAACTATTTCTGTTTGATGATAATGTTGGAATTTCAGTCATCTCAATGGCTTCATATTAGTTGGAACAAGTCGCTTTTTATCCTATTTCATAAAGAGCCAAGTTAAGATTGATAAGAGTAAACAAAAACAAAAAAAATAAGTGAATTTCAAAGAGATTAACTTTCATATATACTGTGTCCTTCCTAGCCATATCCAAAGATCTCTTCGAGTTTGCCCTTCCAAACCCCAAACTATCAGTCAATGAAGTCAATGAAGGCTCTGAAGACAAAAAAGAAACATATGGAGATTGTCTAGAGCTACTATCTTGCTTGGGCGAGGCCAATTTCCACACATGCTCCACTTTCTCGACCATTTTAGTCCCAACCACTATAGGGCCGACTTTAGTGTTAGCTTTACCATGTAATCTACTCATAGCTGAGGGAGTAACAGAGTCTCCTCTACTGCTATGGGTGATACCACAATTAAGAGGACGTGGAGCCCCTCTTTCCAAAGAAGACAATTTCCATCTAACGCCCCTTCCGTTGATTAGAGAGGATTCAACATGTGTTCCAGATCTACCAGTGCTGGTAAAAACTGGCTTCTTCTTTTCAGGTATTGATGATATCATCGGAGATGCATTAAGAGAGAGAGGCAATGAGTTGGGGGCTTTTAGTAGTCTTTGTTTCATAGTTGGAGAACTAGCTTGTTGGGATTGAAGATGTTTGATTGACTTCCTTGGTATTGATTTGGACATTATTTTTGGCTTCAAAGTTATGGATGGATTCTCTGGTGTTGACATTTGTGGTCCAAGAGTGGATCGCTTCAATGATGTTGATTGTGTTGATTTAGATGAAACCACTCTTGTGTGTGATCTTTTTAATGATATATTAGATGTTGGTTTAGCTAATGACGAGGTCAATACTGACATGGATACGCTCTTCATCGTCGGTTTCACACTTGAGGTTGTTGAAGGTTTTAATTTACCCGATGACAAGGGTTTTCGGCCAATTGATGCATTTGAAATGTTTAATCGCGAAGGAGTTGAGTCTTTCGATGTGAAACTGCTTTTTGCAATGGGCTGAGTATGTGGATTTGATAGCTATGATATAACACATAAAAGAAGGAAATCATTAAAGCTTAATTAGTTGGGGGAGCAGTATTTTTAGTAGGATGCCCATTTAGCCTCATCACATTTAGTAGGATCCAATAACAATAATATAAATAATATCAATAGTAACTAGTTCAAGAAAAACATTTAGATGTTGTTGTATATATCTTCAAAAAATCATATAAGAGTAAGCATGAGTTTGGCTAAAATTGCTAAAGTTGGAGGCAAAAATATGGTTGATACATATGGCTTTGCTGAAATTGCAGAACTATATTACAAAACAAAATAAACTTAAATGATTGTGTGTGTAAATTCAAAAATGATCATTTACAATCATTTTAGTAAAAACAATCATATATTTTTAGCATTTCACAGTAAATTAGTTTATAATTAATGTGGGAAAAAACAAGTTTGTTAGTAGGAAAAAAACTACCAAATGGTAACTATAAGACAAAACCTTCCTATATAAGGAATAACTCATATAGATACAATCTTCTTCTATTGATAAGCCCCTGCTATCAAGAGAGTACAACCCTTATGTTTAATATTAACCTTTAGAAAACAGTAGAAGACAACATAAATTGCTTATAATGATCTGAGACTCCACCTAAGATTTTTATGCTGCATAGGTGAGGTAATATAATTAAGGATAGCTTACTTTGCGTGTTTTTGCAAGTGCAAACGTTTCAGTAGTTCCCCGTACACTTGTTTCAGGTTTTGTCGACTCAAACTCTAATGAAGGGGAAACAGGTGTATCAAGCGGTGTCATAAGCCTGCACCAATTAAAAGATTCACGTGAGAGTAGACTATGAAGAGTTGGACAAATTAATAAGATGAGTGTACATCAGTCTGGCGAGTTTAGGTTGAATTGGTCCAATTTTGTAAACAGACAAATCAAGAACCGAATCAAATAACTTATATCGACTTGTTTCATAACTTTTGATGAGTTCCTTTTAGTTTTGTCACCTTTATCAGCTTAACCTCAAAACACAAACAAAAATACATTTGCCCTTGGTTTTTGTTATTTAAGCTTTGGTGAGTTTCAATGTGGCAACATTAAAATTAATGCTTCCTCTTATGCAAACTAACAAGCACTTCAGAAAAAAAAAAATCTGGCCTCTTACCTCTTGTCATTTGTCATCTTTCAAGTGGAAAGTACATATATTCTTCTAACTTTTCCCTTCTCTTATTATTTGTTATACGGTGGAACTCATTTATTATTATTGTTAGGGAAATGTAGCGATTTTATACACCCAAATCCTGAAATGTTTCTATTAAATGAATTTCTTAATTTGGGGAAACCAAATGCAAAGGACAAATTTTTTGAAATGGAGAACATAAGTGACATAAAAAATCAACTTCACTTTCCAATAGATAGTTAATCCAAATAAAATCTCGACAATCAATATCTAGTGCATAACGAATGAGAAAATAGTAAGCAATTGAGTACCATTCATAGTCATTTTTATCATTCTCTGTACTGAGCAAATCATCAACATCAATCTCAAAACCAGTTATTGTTGATGCAATACTAAATATAGGAGAACTCACCCCAGTTGATCCTGCAAACAAGATGTAGTTGCAGATTAAAAGTGTATGTGTCGAGAAGAGTACTCTAATTGAGCCTACACGACATTTTTGGCAATGCTAGTGGTGAGTAGGCAAGTGTTTATAATCCTAGCAGGTTGTTATCTAACAAAATACAAATTTCAAAAATTGGAATTTAAGGAAATAGAATAAGGCAACAACATAATAAAAGGCATGTTCCGAATTATAGTCATCATTTAGCATATTATCTAGATCTATACTATCTAGTATTAACACAAAAGATAAGTGCATTATAGAAACCAGAAATGCTCCTAATATTGATTAAGGGGTGTGTCCTCATTTAGGATTGTAAAGGATTATAGAGGATTGAGATTATATAGAATTTTATGAAATTGTAAAAAATCTATGAGAATTTAATGAAATTCCATGAAATTGGTTTAGACTACAATAGGGAGTCCTTGATGGAGCTTCTCGGCGGCATCCGGCTTCGACACCCAACGTTGTCGCCACCACCAAAAAGTCCCCAACTTTGCTTTCCCCATTCACTTACTTCAGCGTGACCTTACTTCACTGCCACAAGGTACACCTCACCATTGCATGCTTTGTCGCGATTTTACTTCAATGTCGCGGAGTACATCTCACCCCTTTTCTTCTGTACCAAAAATCTATTGAAATGCAAAGGGAATAATGCTATTTTGGGTTGAATTCTTTTCTTTACATTTTAACCTTTGAATCTATGAAAATGCTTATAAATTCAAGTGTAAAAAAAAACTATTGACATGTTGAAGACACCATATTTTGTTTGATTCCATCAAATTCCACATTTAGGAAAATGGAATAAAACACCGCTTAAGGAAAAGGGGGCTCATTTGTAAGAGCTTGGTTGAAATATGAAAATATAGAGTTTTTCTTATTTTACAAAGAAACATTTGGTGAAATCTATTTCTATGAAATAAATAAGATATGAATTAAATAGAATCATCCGGTCATGCTGGCCAAATCAAACATAAATTTTGTTCATACCAAGAGGGGCATGAAACATATCAGAATCATGATGTAGATAATCATGTTTCTTCTCTAGTTTACTCATTTCATAGAACAATGTTAGCTCATCATCTTTCTCCATCATCACAGGGTAACTTGGATTGTCCATATTCTTATCACCCAATTTGCATGTATTAATGAACCCTCCACATCGGTGTTGACATTGCATAACAACAATTCCTTTACCCCTCAAAACCCCTGGCTTTTCATCAACCCTAGCAATGCAAAAGAAGCCATGTTGATTGTTTCCCTCCCAAATATCGTAAATCAATATCCACAGATCGGAAACCCATGCCAGCTCCGATGCTCGGAATTTCCGACCTGAAAGATAGCTCGAAATCAAAGCAACATTTCAAAACAAGAAACACTTCAGGCCATTTATCACCACACAAAAATTTATGACAAAAATCATGAAAAATCTAACCAATAAGAGGATAGAAATGTGTGGATAAAATGTGATTGACCCTGATAGTAGTTACATACAATGCATAATTATATTTATACACATAGACCAAAGCTATTTTTGTTAACCATCATCTAAGAGGATGATCGCTCACCCCACCTTTTTTGAAATCATTATTATATTTTTTCGTTTGTAATCTGATTTTTTTTTTAAATATTGAATTAAATAGTACTCCCATCCCGTAAAAAGATTCTCGAAGTCCACTAAGCTCTGGTGAATGTAAAACCTTCTTTAAGCTTTTAATATAGTTTCTGAATGGGAAGAGTCAAACAAACCCTTCTATTATTTTCGATCCATCACTTAAGCATTTCTACTAAAAAATGCTTACTTTTAAAATACAATCAATCAAATCATTTTGACATGCTATAAGAGGTTATTTTTTAAAAAATAAATATAAACATTCACATTTTTTACTCTTGCATTCTCAAAACATTCACATTTTTGTCTATATTTCTTCAAATTTTAACAATTTTAAAATTTTAATATAAACAACCTGCTATTACCGATCAAAACTTGATGAAATGACTAAATTGATCATTTTTTTAAAAGTAAGCATACATATATGACGTTTTTTAGTATGAGGGCTTAATGACAGATTAAAAATAAAAGAATGACTTATTCGACCATTTCCCCTTTCTGAATATGTAAGTTTCATTTACCAAAAATAATTTTATTGTGGACAAGGATCAGTTAAATTTATGATTAGCAAAACACCGTAAACCGTGTGGGAACCTTTGTACGGGACATGGAGAGTAGTTTTTTTTATATAAATTTCCATATAACACTAATATTGGATAGGTAATTCTTTTTTTAAATGTATCTATCTATTTATCAAAAAAATTTAAGTAATAGCCCTAAATAGAAGTAAAAGATATTCCTTTTCTCTAAACAAGAGTATATGCTTAATATTCCCTAAGTAAGACTAAACATTAACTAAGTTCTGTTTGTTGATGGCAGGGTAATCCGACAACCGGAAGCGGAGGCAAGCCAGCGGTGGCGGAGATCTGGAATATTAATGTTTGTGGCTGCGGTGGAGCTTCAAGGATTGGCAACAGCAACGCAGCGACAGTGGCAAGCTAAAACCCCCCATGAGGAGTATTCTTGTCCAATCACAAAAAACTTCTACTTAGGGAAGTTTAACATTTACTTATACTTTTTTCTTTTTAATATAATTTACTCCTATTTTAATAATTATCTCAAAATTTAAGCAAATTTTTAAAAATATCACATATGAAATATTGGTTTCATATGCATATTTAAGATAACAAAAAATTAGGTTGATACATTTTTGTAAAAATTGGACCATAAATGAAAAGTTTTGCTACCTGTGCTCCTATGTTTTGGATAAAAGGGGGTCGTTGACGGCACGATAGTCATTATGTGAATCAAAATAAATTTAATACTAACACTAATATGTAGTATAGTGAAGTAGAGTTCTTATCCATAGGAAAAAATATATTTCTTCTTAATTAGTGAAATTGTACCAAAGGGGGATCTAAGATTGTTTGACTTGAAAATAATTAAACACTAAGATGAACAACTTATGTGATTTAAATTAATGAAATAAAAGATTTGGCTTAGCTACTCTCCACTTGTTGAAATGTTTGTCGATTCTGGTTAGATTTTTAACCTGTCCCTGTGAGAATTTGGGAAAAGGTACTCCAATAGGAGTCTTGACATGTATATTTATACTAGGAGAGTTTAAAACATATTAGGAAGCAAATATGCCTAATAATATTCTATTACACCCCCTAAAACTGTGCTGGAGATACAACACGCAAGTTTCCTTTACAAAATATTCTATTTATACAACGCGCAAGTTGTTCTTTAAAAAATAAAATTGCTGACTGGAAAGACTTTTAGTAAAAATATCACCTAACTGCAACTGTGTATGGATGTACTTCACAACTAAGTCTCCATGAGGCACACGCTCTCTGACAAAGTGATAGTCTGTCTGAATGTGTTTACTACGAGCATGCTGAACAGGATTAACAGTCAAATAGGAAGCAGAGATGTTATCACAAAATAGTTGAACTGGAACTGTAATAGGAAACCAAGCTCAAATAGTACTGAACGAATATGCAAGGTGTCCTGGACAGTGTATGCCATGGCTCGATACTCTGCTTTTGTAGAGGACTTGGAAACAACAGGCTGCTTTTAGGACTTCTAGGAGACAAGATTTGGGCCCAAGAACACTGCAAAACCAGTCATGGAACGGGACATGTTGGGACAGCCTGCCTAATCGGCATCGGAGTAGGCAATAACACAAGTGGCCTGGGATGTAGGGTGAAGCCACAATCCGTGATCAAGTGTCCCATGTAAGTACCTAAAATGTGCTAGACTGCAAAAAGATGAGTAGAACGGGAAGCATGCATAAACTGAGACACTAAATGCACAGAATAGGTAATATCAAGTCGTGTCAAAGTTAAATATTGTAACACATCAACCATACTTCGATACTCAGCTGCATAGTCTATGAAAACACACTGGATCGATCAATGAGAAAGTTTATTTGCAGATGAGGCAGAAAAATTGGGATAACACACACACACCCAAAAACACGTAACAAATTATAATCAGAAGCTTTTTGAAAAAAAGTTTTTCATATGGTGAGGCGCCTGAAAAAGTAGGAGAGGGAAGTCTGTTAATAATATATGCAGCCGTAAAAATAGCATCAGCCCAAAAATTGCTAGGCAGAGGCCGTGATAAGCATAGTCCTAACACGTTCAAGAAGATGACGATGTTTTCATTCAGCGACACCATTTTGTTTAGGAGTATAAGGGCAAGATTTTTGAAAATAAATGTCATGCTCCTCAAAAATTTGTTGCATATTAAAATTAAAAAATTCACCCCCTCCATCACTTTGAAAAACTTTAATTTTAGAACTAAGTAAATTTTCAACTAAAAGTTTAAAAAGACGAAACTGGTGAAACACCTCACTTTTGATGCGCAAGGGATATATCTAGGTAAAACGAGAAAAATCATCAATAAAACACACATAATATTTAAAACCTAAATTAGATAAAAACAGAAGATTGCCACACATCAGAATGAATTAATTGCAATGGTGAAAAAGAATTATGACTACCATCTGAAAAAGGTAATCGTTGAGATTTGCCCAAACGGCAAGCTATACAATTGTTGGATTAATGGCTCAATCGGGGGATCGGCCCATTAACGTACTCCTTCCTCAGACGAACGACCAGGCCCAAACGAGGTAACGTGCCACGACGAACGTCGAGATAAAACATCAGTGACTGCGCCTCAAAGGCCCAAGGTCGCGGAGACGTACGTCACCACCCATGATCCGCAGTTTAGGGAAGATCTAGGCCAAGAGCTAACCAACGTAACTTACATAAGGGCCAGGCTACGCACGGCCCACAACCTTTGCAGTAATTACCAAGGGCAGCCCCAATCCAAGGGGGACGCTCGTTTCCACAAGTTGGGCGGGAAACCCAGATTCTGGCAGGAAGGGCATTTTAAGGCAGAAGATTTGGTGGTTGAAGCATCAACCACTCACAGCTCTCCACATCAACAGGGCCAACTGCCTATTGGTGATATAAATAGTAGCATTTATTTCATTGTAAAGGGTTGACAACTTATCTGCCTTAGCACTCTAGCTTACTTTCAGCTCTTAGCTTATTACTCGCAGCTCTTCTACTGAGGTGTAAGACGAACGGCCTCCGTCCGGCCTTTAGCAAGCGTATCATACCGAGGTTTTATTAGACTTTAATTATATCCGGTCCTCTTACTTGTTCAGCATTTCTTAGCCATCTCACTTGCTTATTGGATCATATATTCACTCTCACACGAAATATCCACTCGAAATCTTTGGGATTATGTATTGGACCCAAAGGTTGAAGGAATAAACTTCAACAACAATCATGTTCAAAATTTGAACTAGAAATAAGTTTTCTACTACGCATCTGGCGCATAATAGTATCACCACAATGTCCTAATCTACGGTGCCACACAGGGCCAGAAGTGGGAAAGGAAGCTAGAGGTGCAGGAGGACTGAGGCTGATGGGGTACAGATGACCATTATGGCGCGCCTGAAGAAGAACTTCTTCCGAAATGTTATCCTTAACAAAAAAGAGTTTTTTTTTATTATCAAATATAGCAACACAATTGTTATCAGCACACAATTTGTGAATAGAAATTAAACTTAATTTAATTATTTGAGGCACATGAAAAACAAATTTTAAAGAGAGAGGCCGACTAGGAGTATTTAATGTAATATTACCAATACTAGCAATGGGAAGTCTGATACCATTCGCAACACTAACAGTCATATCACCAGAGTAAGTAGATTTATTTGACAAAATACCTTCACATGATGTCATGTGAGCAGATGCACCAGAGTCTGGATACCACTATCGTTTGATTCTCCACCCGGAGCAACCAAAGCAGGCATAAAAGGCTGTGAAAAACGAGACAGACAATGCAATGCAGAGTGACCTGTACAGAAACAAATTTGACTCACAATCGTGGGAGGAACTGAACCAAGAATATCCTCAGTTGAAGGGAAACCTGCATAATGAAAGTGAGTAGCAGAAGTAGATTTAGCATTAATATTTAAAGTGTACATGACAGATTTACCTGATGGAGCATTATTTGGTCTTGGACGGAAACAAATATGCCTAATAATATTCTATTAGTCCTCTCTCAAATACTCAATCGTTGAGTGTCTCCAATTCATCAAAAGTACTTATTAATAACGAGACCGTTCATTAAAAATCTTACTGTTGGCTAATGATAGAACAACGCCATATATACCGACTTGATAGTAGCATTTAATCTCTTGACTCCTCAATGAAATCAATTGAAATTAATAACTTCAACACAACGTTTCGGTTTAACCAACACAATTAATTCCTCCTAAGATAACTAACCATGAGACCATACATTATAACCCTAAGTTACTTACTTATGAAACCATAAATGATTAATCATCAGTTCATTGGTCGTTTTTAGTAGTAATTAATGTCAAAATG